GGCCAAGCAGCATCATAGGAGCAGATGCTGCTTGGCCTGCTGTGTTCATCCAGCCCTGCACCTTGTTGTCTGGGTCTGAGAGGGATGTCTGGTTTATGTACTTTAGGCAGTCCATAGAAGCGGAGGGTGTTTGTGCCTTTTGGTTTCATTCTCACAAAGTCTGTCGTGTTATCTGCCCTGCATTCATCAGTTGCTTCAGTGTCTGGGTGATCCTATTACCTAGCTGCGGTGTTGGGTCTATTGCCACCTGTTGGTAAGTGGTTATATCTGCAAGCAATGTCTGTGCTTTCGTAACGTAGTCTGGTTTGTTCATAATGATGGTCATGTGCCCTTTGTCTGTTGGTAGGATTATGATGTTCTTGTCTTTCTTGAGTTTATCTAGTGCTTTTCTCTCTGCTGTGTTCAGGTTGTCCCCTTTGTTCGTTCTGTGCAGTCTGAGGATTAGAGTTTGTCGGATGGCTTGTTGTGTTTTATCCGTCAGTTTGTTGTCTTTTAATGTATTCTCCAGCGCAGCCATGAAATCTGTTCTGTTCACGTGCAAAACGAACATGGTTTACAAAATACCATGCAACGACTGCCAAAACCATTACGTCGGACAGACAGGAAGGAAACTAGCCACCAGAGTACAGGAACATCAGCTAGCAGCAAGACAGCACGGCAAACTCTCCATAATATCAGTACATTCAGATAATGAAGACCATCAGTTTAACTGGGACAGGGTAACCATAATAGCCCAAGCCAAACATAGACACGCATGGGAATTCCTGGAGGCATCGTTCTCCACCCATAGTTCAATCAACAAATATATAGAATTGGACCCCATATACAAACCCATACAGAGCTAAAACCAGAAATGATAGTACTCACCATAATGGACCGGACAGTATAAATTCTAAGCAGAGTAGAATCATCGGAGGCTCCACTGATAATGTCACCTTTCATGGTGACAAAACTGCAGGGTAGTTTGATCTTAGAGTAAGATAATAGGTCGGCACAACATCGTGGGCTGAAGGGCCTGTACTGTGCTGTACTGTTCTATGTTCTATTTTAAAAACAAGCCAGCTCAGCAAGGAAGTCAACAACCTCAGTATTGGGGTTTATTGATTCAAAATATCTAACTCAGCTCTGAGCTCTTTCAGGCATTTGCCAGGTCTGGTTATTTTGAGGACCTTGACAAAATTGCACAATTACAATAGTGATAAAATCTGATCAGTAAATTCCATCCTATTTCATGTTCGGCAGGAGGCCACAAAATCTTGCTCATTTCTTTTCCTTTGGATTTTTGTTAGTTCATTCAGAAAGGCACAATTAAATTTTAGCTTGTACGTCTTGCTTCTGCTGAAGAAGTACATGTTTTTCTCCTTAAAATTTAGCATTATGCTTATTAAAAATCTGCAACAAAAATGGTACTTTCTTTCCATTATACAGTGAGAACGCAAAATGTTACTGCTTTGTATTTTGCTGGATTATTCCGTATAGCAAATGTTGAATTTATTCCTGAGTATCGAAGGAAGGACTCCCCTGAATTTCTCTCCATGGCAGCTAAAGTTCAGCAAGTGGTAAGAAACCTTTCACACACCATATGGTATATGATATAGGATTAAATATGGGGTAGTATGATGACTGAATTCCGAATGTTGTGAACAAGTAGTTGCAGGTGGGCTATGGCACAGGTGGATTAACTTGGGAACATTTCCACATATCACATCATGTAAGTAGTGTGAACTTGTAGCACAGTTTTGACATTTGTCAATAGCTTCTTTATGGTTACTTGTGAAATATTTGCTTCTCCAAAGCTTTATTCAATATAACAAACATTGGGTCAAATTTCCACTGATTAGTCGTAGCTTTTGAGGTGGTGGATTCGATGAGAATCGTTCAGTGGTTCACTAGACTATTCGATGGTATGAGCCATATTCCAAACTAATTGTTTAGAGACCTCAGTGTGATTTCTGACCTTGTCCAACCCAGTCCAACACTGGCATCTCCGCATCATGAACAATAGAAATTAGAATTGATGCTGTACATATTTTAAAGAAAGTTATGGCCTTGTATTTTAAAAACTGTTGCACATTTTTATTTTCCATTAAATTTAAAAGTTCATTATGAGTCATTGAGTGAAGAAAGATAGTAAAATGACTTGTAAAATAGAGTCTAATTAGATCCTGAGGGAAAACCCTGGAAGATTAACTTGGTCAGGCTTTGGCAAGAAAGCTGGCTTCACCTGAGCTATGCAGTGTGGTAGACTGTTCACATACCGCATTCAAAGCATCATATCATAAGGAAGCAGACTTCATCAACAGAAAAAGACTCTATTCCATCAATGTACAAGTCTCAGCGATGATTAGTTCCACATCTTAGAAGTCTGCACTAAATATCTTGGGAGCTGCCATGATGCCTATAATGTGGAGAACTACCATCTTCTGCTGTGCTTCAAGACCCAGATTCCTTACAAAGGATGGTTACTCAGGGACAATGGCTACCCTCTAAACAATATCTGATATCTTCATTAAGCAACCTCCTCACTGCAGCATAATGTAAATGCAATGCCGCCCATTACTTGACCAGGGTCACGATGGAGCAGATGATAAGTTCACTGTAGGAGAGCTTGGTATTCAGTCTGACCTTCATGCTGGGCCATTGGAAGACCTGGAAGACACTTCTGAAGCAAGGACGAGATCTTTGCGCTGGGACTAGATCTTCATACCAGATGCCGGAAACCCGGAGACTGCCGAAGAAGAGCTCCACAATGAGACAAGAATGTCACTCCAGGCCAAGACTGCCCGTCCTGGACAAGACCGCCACACCGGGAGACTGCCCTGCCAGGTGCCAGGCCTATGCCACCTCTGGACAGTTGGAAGTCACCTCATTGCTGTGCCTGGGCCAGGAGAAGACGACTTCCAATATAGTCATTAAAAGAAGAAAGGGTGTCATAATAAATGGAAACATTAAATAAAAGTATAAGAAGGAACAGAAAAGGAAAGTGCACGGAGTAAATGAGCTCTGGGCGCTTGGGATGAAGAATCCGCACATATATATATATACATATACATATATAAATGCTCCATTTGCCACATTTTCCAATGACAAAGCTACTATAGAGACTGTGTTTGAAGTCTAATTGGGCTTCAGCTATTAGGTGCTTTTGCAAGCTTACATCATTAATCCCACATACCAATCGGTCTCTCAGCATCTCGTTAGGGGTTAAACCAAAGTCATATGCCTCTATCAGGCATCTTAACTGAGTCAAAAACCGTGATACGATTTCCTTTGATTCTCAAATTGCCAAGTACAACTGATAGCATCTCAGAATTAGAGGAGGCTCAGGGTCATAATATTCCTTAGCTAAATCCATCAACTCTTGAAACGTTTTAGTATCTAGACCTCAGGGAAAGTAGACTCCTAATAACTGAAAAAGCTGTGGGTCCGCAAGCTGCCAGGAGTTTTACTCATTCCTTTTCATTTGCCTCCATGCTATTTGCCATTTAAAAAGCGCATTCTTTCCATGTGCTGGGCCCAGACTTCAATGGCAGGTTCGAATGTGTGAAGTTTCCCAAATAACAGTATGATGCCAGAAATGCTCACCCCAACTCAAAGACAACTGTTGTGAGTGAGTTTTTTCAGGAAAGTGCTTTACTCACACCGCCTTGAAATAACTCCACAAAGATCGGTGTCCGGTCACCCTTTATTTATACGTGGAAAATCCTTGACACTGGCCCAGCTCCCTCACAGCCAAATGTCGGAGTGTCAGCCCTGCCAAGATCAAAGAGTTTAAAAGACCTAAAAATGTTTATGCTCAAAATCTAGTAATGCTCGGGTTGGAGTTATTTTCAAGCAATGTCAGAAAATCACATTTATATAGTTACAGCTTTAATGTTTGCAGATATTGTTTCTCTCATAGATATGTCACTTAATCAGCTGTGAGTGATCTCAGTGCTGTTATAATAACTGATTAATTTTATTTCATCTGTCACATGTTGAGTTTTGTTCTTTTCTCGTCCTTCAGATGAACAATGTTTATAAGAAGTCACTTTTCTCCAAGTTGTACAAGCAATCAACTGTTTCTGATTTAAGGTACTTTGACTCACAAATTCATTAATTATGAAGATTTGAAAACTGTTAAATTTGTACAGAGGTACCTAAACAATGTCTTCCAAAAAAGAAGTGAACTATGCCTCAGAAAAGACAGGGACTTGCTGGAATATGGGCGGATAATGGCTGAAAAAGTGAAACTAATGTATTAGAAAAGAACTTTAATTAAAAAAATGCATCTTCGTTCAGTTTGAGCCTGACTTAATCTTAGCATTGACAGAGAATTTCTGTCAATGGTGTAATATTATAAAAACCTGTTCCTGGTATTGAGAAGATCAAAGACAGTTTGCAATTACCTTTTGGAGAACAGCAAAAGCATCTATTGGATCTTGGGAATGCTGTAGGCTTGCTACTTGCTATATTGGAAGATGTTCTTCAAATGCTAGATTATTACATAGCTAGTGTTGAAATTTGCTAAGTAAAAACATGATAATTACTCGATAAAATAATTATACAAAAAGTAGATATTGATAAAAGGTACTTATAAAGATAAAAGTAAGATTAGTCTATTAATGTTGAAGTTACTTGTTTGAGGATTCACCTTAATAGTAAAACCTTATAAACATAAGGTCAGAATTCAATAGCTGCAACGGCTTCTGTGGTTGAGTAGTTGGCAATTTTTTCCTACAGAAGGACTAAGCAGAAGTGTCATGCCAGCTCCTTTAATTCTCTCTGTCAGCTTGTGCCCCAGGGTAGCCTGGCTCAGCACAGCAGTCCTTTTCTTCCCTCTTTGATGTTATCTGATCGGAGTTCTTCTTGGTGTTATGTTTTAAAACAGTGTCTAACAGCGTTTTATACAGAACTAACTTAAGATGGCTGCCATGTAACTTTGGCTGAATACAATGACGACAAAGCAAAGCCAATTATGCTGGAACAAAAACAGAAATTGCTGAAAAATCTCAGCAGGTCTGGCAACATCTGTGAATCTGCCAGGTCTGGTGAGCTTTTTCAGCAATTTTTGTTTTTGTTTCTGATTTACAGCATCCGCTGTCCTTTGAGTTTTTATTCAACTATGGTGGAATTCCCTGTGACAGTCTTTCCAGACTGCTGTTTGTCTTAGAAGGTTTGAATTCTCATACCTTTAAGGACCCAGTGTATTGTCGAAGGATGAATCAAATTCTAAATTTCTCCCTTAGTGATTGATGATGAGATAACATACCAGTCTTTCTACTTTTTGGCTGACAGTGAATTAACAAGGACAGTCATATGAGTTTTGAGGCCCATCTGTGAGTTACTGGGTCCAGTTTAACATGTAAAACTAATCTTCTTTATTAAATATATATTTTAAATAGATGGCAGTAACACTACACAACAACAGGGATGATATTTTCTGTTTAATGCACAGTCAAGAAGAAGTTACAACTTTTTGTCAGGGTATTGTCCTTTTACCTTTATAATTAGATTTAAACATAACCCAAATGAGAACAGGTCAAATATCATATTGTAAACCACAACATAATTGTGAAATGTCTGAAGTTGGGAACTATAGGAATGGCTTGAGTAAATATCGAATTTAAATAATTCAAATCAAAATAAAATATAAACACGAAAGAATTTTTTATGATTGTGTTTGAGAATGTTCCTTTTTGTGTTTCTTACACAGTAACAACAACAATGGTGGCATTCTCGTTCACTTCTGGATTATTTTCATTGTTCCAAATATGAAGACTCTATTTGTGTGTGAAGACTGTGTCAGTGCAGTCTTAAAGGACTCTATTCAGACAAGCCTGGTAAACCGTACATCGATTGGGTACCTTCTTGGACTTCCTGTGGACATGGACTCAATTGTTGTTAATGGTTATTTATTTTGGCATTTTGTCTCTTTCTGTTATTGAAAATTGTACCTAGTGCAATGTGTTATTTTATTGCTAATGGTAAACTGATTCTGCATGACATTAACTGTAAAGCTCAGAAGCTGATGAAATTAGCTCAGGCATGTGTAAAGCAATGCATTTTAATATATGAAAGAATGAAGAGACAACATAAACTAAAGTGTGCAAGTCTAAATTGGTTGCAGGAACAGAGAAAACTGGGGTATGTGGGCATAAATGTTGAAGATGGTGAAACAGGTTGAGAAAGTGGTTAAAAAAGTATTTTGCGATTTATAAGTAGAGGTGGAGTGCATCAAAGCAAGGATGTTGTGAGGAACATTTAAGAAGAAAATGGTTTGACCTCACCCGGAGTATTGTGTCCAGTCTGAGCACTGCACATTGCAAAGGATGTGAAGGCTTCAGGGAAGATGCAGAGAAGATTTACAAGAATGGGGCTGGAAGTGAGGTACCATTATTATGTGGATTGGAGGAGGTGTTCTGAGAAAAGACAAGTTTGAAAGGGGATTTCATCGAGATGGTCAAAATCATCAGATGTCTCAGTAGAGTAGATGGAGAGAAACTGTTCCTGTTGGTAAGATGGTTGAGCATCACAGGACTTAAATGATTTAAATGATTGGTGAAAGAATCAAAGATGACATGAAGAAAATCTATTTTTGTGCAGTGAGTAGTTAGGATCTATAATACACCAATAGAGAAAATGATGGAAGTAGATTCAATTGTGGCTTTCAAATCGGATTGGGTAAATAACTGAAGCGGAAAAATACAGGATTACAGAGAAAAGACCAGAGAATCGAACTACCTAAATTGCTTTTATAAAGAGCCAGCATGGACTGAAGGGTTGATTTGATTTGATTTGCTTTTTGATTGTCATATGTACCAAGGTACAGTGAAAAGTTTTGTTTTGCATGCAGTACGGGCAGATCATAGCATACAAAGTGTGTTAGGGTCAAGAATGGCCTCCATCTGTACTGTAACCATTTTCTGGAATTGATTCTAGTTCAAGTCCAACAAATTTGTGTTGAAAGCATGGAAACAGTTATGTAGGACTGCACACAGAAACAGGAGATTCAATCAATCAGTTTCTGTTGGTGTTTAATCCTTCAAAAAACCAATAGTCACTCCAATTTCATATCCCTTTATCCATTCATGCTTTAAATAACCGATCCATGCTTCAATCACTATCTCTGACAGGGCATTTTAGAGCACAAAGCTCTTGTGTGAAAAGTTTTCTCCTGATTTCTGTTCTCAGCCTCTTGCATCTACTCTTATTTCTAAGTTCTGTTGTTGTTGTAAACCCCACAACCACTAGAAACTGTCTTCTATCTGCTCTACAATTTCCTTTTATAATTATAAACATATCTACCAAGCTAAATCAGTCAATTCTAATGAAAGCAACCATAATTTTTCAAATTGATTTGTTTTTGAATTTCATCTTAACATGCAGCACTTATTATCTGAATTGTACCATTTCTATTTCTCAACCTCCTTCCTTTGGGTGAATCATCACGAATTGTATAAATTTACATATAATTACTTCTTGACCTTTTTATTGAATTCCTTGTCATAAATCCATAAATCTGTCAGCTTTTTATAGCTTTATCTGCTTGATATGCTACTTTCAATGTCCTGTAAATCTGAATGACCAATTACCTCTGCTCTTTTCATAGTAAAGTGCAGTAATGACTTTTTTTAAAAGGAAATGTATCCTGTCTGATTTACTGGCATTGAATTACATTTGCTACACTTTAGCCTATTCCTAGATCTTATCAAAATCACCTTCAGCTATGTTTGGTCATCAGAAATATTTACTTTACCTCATATTTCAGTATCATTTGCAAATTTGATCACTTCCTAAGGATACATGGAGAGCTAAACTGGTCATAGAGTAGAACTGTGTAGAACACTATTGTCCATTTCCAACCACCCTGAGAAATTGCCTTTTAATCGTCCTTTTACTTTTTGCCTTCCAACCAGTTTTCAACCAATTTGCAATTCCTATTTCTATGTTCCCCCCCACCCTTTTTTCCCAATTGCCTCATGTGTTAAATGCGTAATGAAAGTCTATTTCAAAAATATCCGCGGCAATTCCCACAGTATCCTTCACCTCTTCAAGTAACTCGTCAGGTAAAAATAATCATGTGCGAAGATTTATCAGTTAATGTTTGCAACTGACTTAATTCCTAAAAGTAATGAACAACATCATTTAAAGATATCCTCTTTGTATGTGCTTGAGGTATACATGAAGAATGCTAAAAAGAAAAGTCTTGTATTGACGCATTAGGTAACTAGTGTTATCCTTTTATAAGTTATTCTGTTATAGCATTGAAACTGTTAAGCTCTCTAAACTAAACATGGCTATTTAAAATGAGCTTAACATCTAACCTCACAACAGAATAATTATTTATAATACTAGAGTTTTATGGTTTCAGGGCCATTATTTTTCTAGAGAGTCCATTAAAAACAAACACAAAGATGCTGGAGAAATTCAGTAGATTTGGCAGCTTCTGTGGTGAGAGAAAGAGAGTTAATGTTTTAAGTTTGGTATGAATCTTCTTCAGAATCCATTGGTATTTTTCCAGCATTCTGTGTTTGTTTCAGATTTCCAACATCTGCAGTATTTTGCATTTCCTCTAGAAAAATAGTTTGCTAATTGCTTACCAATGACAGGACGTGTAAGTTATTTGTGTGCACCTGCATCTGTGTGTGTTGTATGTGTCTTTGGATGAAATATTTAAACTCTTAACTGCATACAACTGTCTGCTTTCTTAATGCATTCGAATAAACCGCATATTCTGAATATACAATAATTTTTATATCTTTACTTTTGCTTTTGATAGCTGGCCTCCGTTCTGATTACATTGCTACAGCTGTGACAGGTGAGAGTTTTAATTTAGTCTGGTCTTAAAGTAAACATATAAGGAATAATTTTTAAAAAGGAAGAAAAACTTTATTGAGCCCTCTTCATATCCTCAAGGTCTTGAAGGATGGATATTGGTCAGGTCACCGGGAAAAGTCTTCTTTTAATATTGTATTGGGCCCATATGTGACTACCTGAGATGGCAGAATGGAGATGTTCATGTTTAAAGCTGATAAGCAGAAATAGGATAGATTTTTTTGCTGACAGATGTAGTTGTCACCTCTCTGTAGATCTACCTGTGTTCAGATACAGGAATTTGATTGGAAGACATAGGGGCGATACAATTGGTAAAGATGGCTGGGCAATTGATTATAGTAACTTGCACAAAAGCTCCTGTGAACTCAAATTCTAGCATAGGAACAGTCCAGATAAAGCAAATAAAAACTTACCAAAATATTGCAGATTCCTTTAGCAGAATGTTTCCCTTCTTGCCGTGATGTCAGCAGTGAAGAAACACGAGGGGAAAATTGAGGGAGAATGAAAAACCCATCATCTCGACATCGGAAAGTGTTTCCCCAATTTCCCCTTAAGCTTTAATGAAAACTTCAGAAACTCACTATTCAGCAGCAACTACCCTGTTTACATGGATTTGCCTTTCATTGTTAGCCCATTTGCCACATTCATACACCATTTCTAATTCTCCTCTCCTTCCCCAAGAAATGAGATGGCACAAATTCCCAATGTAAGTCAGAACTGGTAGCTGGAGGGTGCAGCTTGCTGATTGCTTGTTATGGCCATCATCCAACTCTATCTTCACCACAACATTCCTACATGCTCCATGGCCACCATTCTCCTCTGTCCTCCACACAAGTTGGCAGAGGCAAACCACCAACCTCATCACATCATCTTGCTGCTCTCAGTCCAATTCTCACAACGTTTCAACCCTTTGTACTTGACTTGCAATAGTCATGCCACACAAGCGCCAGGCAATGACCATCTCCAAGAAGAGACGATCTAACTATTGCTCCTTGACATTCAATTCACCATCTACAAGGCACAAGTCAGGAGTGTGATGGAATACTCTACACTTGCCTGGATGGGTGCGGCTCCAACAATACTGAAGACGCTTGGCACCATCAAGCTTCACTAACACCATGTCCACAAACATCCACTCCTTCTAAGTCAAGATAGTGTGGAGCTGGAGGAATACAGCAGGCCAGGCAGCATCAAAGGAGTAGCTCTGAAGAAGGGTCCTGACCCGTAACATTGACTTTCTGACTCCTCTGGTGCTGCCTGACCTGCTGTGTTCCTCCAGCTCCAAATTGTGTTGACTCTGACTCCAGCATCTGCAGTTCTTGGTATCTTCCACTGTCTCTAATATTCGGGCAATAAATGCTTGTCCAGCCAGTGATGTCCACATCTTGTGAATGAGCTAAAAATACACTTTGTAGTCCAGCGACATCTACAACTTGCGTGTTTCTGCCAGGTCACTTTGCGTGCAGGGACACAAGTGCATCTCGTGCATCTAAAGAGGTTGCATTTTATTGCATTGGCTTCATTTCTTAGCACTCATTCACTTAGTGGTTGCTTGGAGGCTGCCAGCATTGAGAGTGAGGCAGGCAGGCAGCTTGTCACTGTGGGGAGCACTGAACAATCAAGAGGGTAGTCATGTCACTATACAGCACTATACTAAATCAATGTCACACCTACAGCAGATGCCACTGGCTCTGTGGCAAACACGCTGCCTGTACTTCAACCAAATGATCATGTCTGAAAGGCAGAGGGGACCAGTCTATACTGGGGACAAGGGATACTACAGTCCATCAAGGGCCTCATCTGATTCCAGTTCCGTGGGGAGTTAGTTGGGAAATAGGTCTCACCAGAGTCCAGGCATCTGTATCCTTGCAGGTTGAGTTTTAGTCCCTGGGGGTTTGCTCAGTAATAGTCAGGAGGCTTATCAGGGGAAAGTGGACAACTCCAGTCTGGGGATAGGGTTCATTGCAGTGGGTCACTGAGGGAATGATTTCAGTGAAAGGGGGAAATTTGACATAGAAGCATGGGGTCTCATTGACTATAAGAAAGGATGAGAAACATTGAAAGTGGGAGTAGATTTCAAGGGTCAACATCTCTATGGCCTCTATGTGGAGACCATGAATGATCATTAAGAATATGGCAATTTGCGCTGAGGGTAATCTGGGGACATATACAACTATATATACATATATAGGCTGTAAAAGTACCAAATGGAAACTGGGAGGCTGAAAGATCATTGGGGACATGGCCAGTAACATAGGAGGGAATATAAAAGATGTGGGTTATCGTGCTGTTTCTTAGGCAAGGCCTGCAATTCACTTACAAGGACATGAAGTTGAAACTTTACCATTCTTCAAAGTCAACTGTGTGATAATGATATAAAATGGCTGCCATCATATGCAAAATACGCAGAGTAAAATGCTGTTTCTTTCTTCAGGGGCAGGGTCAAATTGTTTGAATTTGAGGCCTTGTTAGGGGAAAGTGTGGTTGTTATACCTCCATCAGTTCAGTAATACCACCAATTGACATCAAGCTGCACTTGGCAGATCATTCATCGTCCAAGAATGAGCACTACGAACTGTGGCCTCAAGCATTTAGAATTAGGTCAATTAGAATGCCTACAGTTTGGAAACAGGCCATTCGGCCCAACACATCCACACCGACTCTCCGTAGAGCATCCCACCCAGACACACATCCCTCCTCTATCCCTGTTACCCAGCATTTCCCATGGCTAATCCACTTAACCTGTACATCCCTAGACGCTATGGGCAATTTAGCATGGCCAATCCACCTAACCTGCACATCCTTGGACTATCAGAGGAAATCAGAGCACACGGAGGAAATCCACCCAGACACAGGAAGAATGTGCAAACTCCACACAGACATCCACCTGAGGCTGGAATTGAATCCGCTGAGCCACAATGCCATTCCTGGACCCATTGTTCACATTAATTTGTTTATTGTCATGTCAGCTAAGCAAATGGAGCCAGACAAACTAACTTAAAAGTGTCACTTTGCCATCTACAAGGCACAAATCTGGGGTGTGATGGAATACTCCATTTGTCTGGGTGAATACAGCCCTAACAACACTCAAGAAGCTTAAAATTATTCAGGACATTTGGTTGGCACCACTCCCACAAACATCCATTCCCTCCACCACCAATGCTCAGTAGCAGCAGTGTGCACTAGCTTCAAGAAGCACTGCAGAAAGTAATTAAGGCTCCTGAGACAACACCTTCTAAAACCATGACCACTTCCATGTAGAAAGACAAGGGCAGCAGATACATGGAGCACCGCAACCTACAAGTTCCCTTCCAAGTCACTCACCGTTCTGACTTGTAAATATATTACTATTCCTTCATTGTGACTGGGTCAAAATGCTGGAACTCCCTCTCTACTGACATTGTGGATCCACCTACAGCAAATGGACTGCAACGGTTCTCAACAGTTCACCAACATCTTCTCAAGGGATCTGTGGATGGGCAATAAATGTTAGCCCAGCCAACAGTACCCACACCCTATAAACTGATTTTTAAAAAATTCTATAGCTGTCACTGGAAGATGATGCTTTGCAGCTGCCACAATCACACACTGAACTGTAAATATACAAGGACATGGTCTGTGATGTGCAAAGGTATGTTTTGTCTGCAGTAGGAAGCTATCACAATGATTTACTGCCAGAATTCTATCCCACAATGTAGCATGAACACATTGGTTGTGCAATGTACATCTGAATAAGGTTACACAGCTGAGAGCTTCTTATTGAGACTGACATTAACCTCCTTGGGAAGCCTCAATGCCCACACTGTGTCAGGATATAATACAAGATTCCATTTTGATTGATATCAGGGCTCAGGAGTACAATTAATGAAATCGTCTCTACTTTCCGACATTCTCCACACATTATCTGCTCATGGATTGGACATGGACATGGACTTGGCTGGAGTCCTTGTGACTTTGCTTCAGATGTGAAGAAAAGAAAGAAGGAAATTGCAATGCCAACATTGTCAGCAAGAACAGCAATCTCCATTGGCTACTGCACAGCCTCCAGAGAGAGCAGCAGCAAGTGAAGATCCACAAAGGAGGTGGAGGAGAACGAGCAGAGCCTACACCCATAGGCTGCACTGTTATTTTCTCCAGTTCTGAGAGAGACAGCACAGACATCAATTCATAATATCTCAGGCCTTCATCAGCAAACAGTGAGACCTGCTGGAGCAGGACCTGTACTTCAAGGGACTGGGTGACAATGTCATCCCAGCAGTTCATTTCAGGGAGGAACTGGGGACCATTCCTCGACCCATAATTGCATCTAGGATGTCACTGATAGAATTTTTTTTAGATCACAGCTAATTTCTGATGACAAGCAGAATTGAACAGCCTGGGCAGTGGGAATTTCCACCATTCCTGGCTTCTCCTGGAGAAGAGCATTGTAGACTGTACCTATATTGTTTTATCTCACACTGCAGAGATTATCAACAGAAAAGGTTTACCCTTCATCAGTGTTCTAATTATATGTGACATTGATACCAAATTCTAGAGGTCTTCACCAAATATCTTGGGGGCTGCCTTGACTCTTCCATACTAGAAAACCGACAGGTTCCTGCCTCCTTTCAAGGTCCTCAGGCCACATGGGAAAGGCTGCTGGGAGACAAGGACTACCCCCTTCAGATATGACTCATGAAATCCTCAGTCTGATGCAGAATAAAGATACAATGCTGCTCAAACTTCCATCAGGGCCAATTTAGAACAGATATAGGCCTCGTTATAATGAGGTCTCAATGCCTGAGCACTCCAGCAGACCCTACAGTATAGCCCTGACAGGAAATGCATGTCATAATTATATGATATGTTCTTCACAACTGGAACTGATGTAAAGGGGTAGGTCCTGGATGATGTGAGATCAAACAGCAATCTTCGGAGGATGAAGATGAAAATGAACATCAGTATATTGACCAGGAGGGACATCCAAGACACAATGATAAAGCAGTGCAACATCGAGGAGCAAGAACACATAATTGGAACTTGCTTCCAGGATGAACAGTCTAAGTTTGAATTTTCTTCAATTGTTTAATGTTCTGTTGGTTATATGACAAGCAGTTGCTGTTTAGTGCAAAGGGCATGTGGACCTTAATATTGTTGTAGTCCTTTACCATTTTTAGTTACTGAATGAATGTTTTGTTATCCCTCTGATTATACACTTCATATCTATGTGACCCCACTTTCAAGTATATACACATTAAATGTTATGCCTTACTGTGTGATTTACACATATTTTCATATCATTTATTCTAAGTTTGGACTTTTGAATTTTGAAATAGCTATATGTTTTTTGTGTGTCTGTAAAACTGAATGATTAACTTGTAAAACAGTGAGATGAAATAGCTTTCAGAACTAATCAGTTTTTTTTTACCTTGGAAGAGTTTTTAACTGAACATTTATGCATCAAGGTTTCTGTTCAAAAATATTCTTAAGCTTACGGAAACATTCATAGATTGGGGAAGATGTCATTTATGATTTCAGTTTTGGCAGTTCTGCAGAATTCCTTGGATGAAGACGAATGTATAAAGCAGTTCTCCTGAGAAGGAAGAAGTTAGTAAAACTCGATTACTTTAGAGTCAAGTATTTACTGATAGTCCTAGGTCAGAGGTGTTTGCATAAAACCCTGAAGAGGCTATTTGAAGCCAAAAACATTTAAACTCAGGTGAATAACAGCTCCAATTTGAAACTGAGATGAGGAGGAATTTCTTCTCTGAGGGTTGTGAGTCTTTGGAGCACCTTGCCACAGAGAACTGGGAGCTGAGGGAGCAGCATCCTTGTTTTTGTATTTAAATCTGAGATAGATAGATTCTTGATCAGTAGAGGAATCAAGAGTTATAGGGAAAGGGCAAGAAAGTGGACATGAGGAATGTCAGATCAGCCATGATCCTATTGAATAGTGGAGCAGGCTTGAGGGGCCAAATGGCCAACTCCTGTTCCTTTTTCTTATGGTATTAAATTAAACATATCAAGGTGTTTGAAAAAGAATGTGAGTACAGTACATGGGATGCCTGTGGGTACTGTACAAAGGTATTTTTGAGAACGGTAAAGGAATTTTTTTGCGTTAATGAAAATATGTGTTTCAAAAAATTTAAGTTTGTTTTATAAGTAAGTTGTCTGGTTTATATTATTTTATCTTTATTTATTTTTCTTAACACATTGTTAAAACCAAATCTACAACATTACATGCTTATGTTCAGTGAGAGACCGCTTCACTGAGAAATCAAAAGAAAACAAATTAAGATCTATTAAACCAGATTCCAATGTGGGATCTGATTTGTCAAGTAACAAGATGCTTCAATGGTACAAGAATGTGGTTAGACTGCATTCGGAGTACTGTGTGCAGTTTTGGTCTACTTATTTCAGGAAATATATTATTACCATAGAGGGAATGTAAGGTTCACTGGATTTGTTCCCAGGATGGCAGGACTGTCCAATAGAGAGAGAGTGGGCAAATTGGGCCCATATTCTCCAGAGTTTTGAAAAATAAGAAGTGATCTCATTGAAACTTACAAAATACTTAAAGGGATAGACAGGTAAGATTAGAATGCATGAGTCTACAACAAGTGGGCACAATTTTAAAAAAAGGGGAATACCTTGTTCTGAGACATGGAGAACTTTTGTTACTCAGAGGGCTGAGGAAACTTTGTGTATGTTTAGGCTAGAGATTGATTGATAGATTTCTGATTACCAGAAGCATACAGGTTTACATGTTTGATGGCTGAATGGCCTACTCTTGTTCCTATGATTCTAACATTGGCTGGGATCATAACAATGTCCTATTGATTATTAGGGAAAATACAGCAGCCAGTGAGAATGCAATAGCATCACATGTCACAAAGTTTAGGGCTCTTAAGGCTTTGTAAATATTGTACAATGAAGTCTTTTATGGTAGGCAGGAGATTTGGAAGAATTCTGAAGCACCTCCTTTTGATCTTTCCATCATCAGTTAGCCTTCTACTTTTCAGTATGTAAATTGCTAAGTTACCCTCAAATGCTTGCGTGACCTATGGGACCTACAAACATACAATTTAAGATCAGTAGGTTACTTATCCTCTTCAGTCTGCTTTACCCTTCAATAAGATCATGGCTGATCTGATGGTAACCTCAAATTTACATCTACATCTACCCCTGTTAACTTTTCAAACCCTTGGTTAAGAAGATCTAACTACTTCTGAACACTCCCAGACATTCTGTCTCCTTCCAGTGCTTGCTGTACTTTACCCTTCTCTGGACCCAACACCTCAACTTCTCCCAACACCAAACCCGATCCCCCTTCACCCGTTTCAGACCTGATCGCCCTTTACCCGGTCCAGATCCATTTCCCCTTCTGTGAGAGAGAGTCACTCATCAGAAGATCTGGCCCATTATTTTTTCTGTTTTTAATTTCTTTTACATGAGAAAAGAAACACGCGTAGTTATTCTTAACTCATCGCATGGCTTGCACATTGTACCTATGCTTCAGTACACTGAGGTACTTGACAAATTGTGTATTTATTGGGAATAAAGGGCAATTTGGATTCAAGATGACTGAGTGTCATTGCTGCGGTTCAGCTGGGACAGGGATGAACAAGATTTGACAGAAATGGCAACAGGCTTTGAAATACTGGGGCATTGTTTTTTTGTGGAACACTCATAAGGGGTTGTTACCTTGGAGCGTCACTCTGACGTTGTGACAAGAGGTTTGGATTGGAGCATGACAATGGGGTGGTGGGTATGGGAATTGGCAATCTGAACTTTTGTGACAGATACTTGGCAATGTAGCGACTGAGAAGTGAGTTGCAGATTGCCTGTCAATTTTCAAGTTCCAGATGGTTAATGCATGCATACATATCACTCAAATATTTGCTGTGATTTGCTCTCTTAAAGCGAGTGACATACCATTTTGTAGTTACTAGTGACAGTTGTGCAAGCCTGCAAGTTTCAAGGGTTTAGGTTGGATTTTTCATCAATGTTTGAGCCCAACAGACACAAACTTGGACATGAAGGCTTGTGAGTTCTGCTATACTCTGCAGCTTTGGAGATTGCTAACCTCAGTACATTAGTAAGGGTAAAGATTAGAATGCATGAACCTGGTATAGCCCTTTAACTGTAGCTTCTCCAGGATTCGGCCTGCCCGGAAGAATGGCATCGAATATGTTCACTCATGCCTCATATTTGGAATCAACATACAGTAATTGCACTCGGAAACTCTCAATTATGTTCAATTGAAGGACAATTGATGGACCATGAAGGATTTTAAGGAAATGTAGATTTACCACTCAATTATCCTCTTCTGTAGTTTTCATTTATACAGATTGTAATTGTGTAATTATAGAACGCATTTATGGAAGTACTTCACTAGCAGAATCTTAATGTGGATCCACATGAATATTAAAAGACTAGTCACCACTGATGATGGCGCTGGAGCAGCTTTTGGGAGCTGGGAAATCAGGCAGAGGTCTATATTGCAGTGTCTCCTTTGCGTGAGATATTCTAATATATTCAAATCAAGTTAAGAGTGGTTTTCCCTCTGCTTACAATGGGATTGCACTCTGCATTCTATTCACACTTTTGCAGAGACCCAAGGGAAGCTCTGAGTATAATTGCATTGATAAAAGGGTCAAGGCTTTTTAAGCTCTACTTGTTTCCTTTGTGACTTTTTTTTATAAAATGGAATATATGTGATTTTGCAAGGAGTTTTTTTCAGTAAGTAACATTGTAATGGAAATTAGAAAAACCGATGTGTCTCTGAATTATGCTGAAAAGCTAATTGTACCTGAAGGATTTTCAGCAGTGCAACAGAATAGATAGAATTTGATGGAATAGAAATTTTCAGACAATAAATTTTCATGCTGTTTACAGAGTTACACAGTATCCAAAGCGCCAGCTATAGAAAAAAAGTTGGCAGTTTAAGTTAACTCAGGATGGGTGTGATATTGAAATGCCTCAATATCATTTTTCAATTTGGGGAAAGGATATGTCATAGAAAAAGTGTATGCAGGGGAAAGTTTGGGAAGTGAACATACAATGTCAAATCATCTATAATAAGATTTTGCATTTTCCAGGTTCTAAATATGTTATCGATAAATTTGCTGAGCAGGCTGGTATTCCTGTTCCTTTAAACTTCTTTGCTGCTTCTGGACGAGTACACTGCCACTTCAAGCTCAATTCGCCACCAGGACATGTCATTCGCCTCTCTCTCACCTCCTTACAGATCGAACCTGACAGCTGTGTCACAGATTCTCTCAGCATTTTTGACTCACTTATGCCAATAAGGAGTAAGAATTTGTACCGGTAAGTTTTATAGTGCTTCTGGTATTTTTGGATAGCTGGGTCTCTTAATTGACACAAAAGATATTGTGGAAATGAGGAACTCAAACAAATTAGCAGCCATAAAGAGGTGATACTCAAAAAATTAACTCAGTTGAAGGTTGACAAATCCAGACAGTCATTTGGTGGTAAAGAACTTGAATACTGCTGAAAAAGACACAAGTTAATAAAGATTTTCGTCTTGCACTCATTAGGGTAATTCCCAATATAAAGGGAAAGCAACCTTTTTATCCTGAATAAGAAACAACTGCTGGTTAGTAGGCAACTAGATTAGTGGTAGAATTGTCATGGAAAATGCACCAGTTAGATGATGACTGACAGTTAACAGCCAAGATTGCATGTACTGGAAGATACATTTATTAATACACGGAGCCTTGTTCTTAGCAGAAAAGAACATATACACACACTGCACTTGCTTTAACTCAGCAAAACAGTTGTCAGCCATTTCTCAGGGAAATTCCTTGACTGATGAGAGTTAACTAAAAGTCAGAACCTCATCAGCATGTTTGCTGATGCTTGCACAATGTTCAGAACCATTCACAACTACTCAAATACAGAAGCTGTCCATATGCAGCAACATTGAGCATCTTTCTGTCTTGGGCTGATGAAGTTTAAGTAATATTCTTGGCACATAACTGCAAGGCAAAGATCTTTTCCAACAGCAGAGAAAGCAACCATTTCCCCTTGACATTTGCTGGTATTACCACTGCTCACTGTCAACATTCTGGGGATTACAATTAACTAAAAACTCAATGAATGGCAGAACATTAGGAAGCTCACAGGAACAGAGGGATTTTGGCATGCTTGTCCACAGATCCCTGAAGGCAGCAGGACAGGTTTAGTGGGTAGTAGAGAAGACAGATGGCACACCTGCCTTTGTCTGTTGTGGCATAGATTATAAGAGTAGGTAGGTTATTTTGGAGCTGTGCATGACTATGGTGAGGCCACAGCTGGAGTGCTTATGTGCTGTTCTGGTCTCCATACTATAGGGAGGATATGAGTACATTGGAGAGGGTGCAGAGGAGATTCACCTTGCTTGGGTTAGAGTAGTTTAGCTGTGAAGTAAGACTGGATAAGTTCAGGTTGTTTTCTTTAGAACAGAAAAGGTTGAGAGGGGTCTTGATTGTGAGCACAGTGGCTAAGAAGCAGCCGATTCCCTTGGATGAAGGGCTGATAATAATTGGGCATAATTTTACATTGAAAAGCAAGAGTTTTAGTGCAGATTTGAGGAATGCAAATTTCACCCAGAAGGTGATGGGAATCTGGGATGCACTGCTTGGGAGGGTAGTTGAGGTGGGAAACCTCACAATATTTAAACAGTAGAGGATGAGCTCTTGAAATGTCATAATATTCAAGGCTATGAGCCAAGTGCTGGAAAGTGAGACCAGTGTAGATTTAGTGTCATCTTTTATTGGTGCAGACACAATGGGCCAAATGAACGGCATGGTGGGCTCAGTGGTTAGCACTGCTGCCTCACAGCGCCAGGGGCCCAGGTTCGATTCCACCCTCAGTTAACTGTCTTTGTGAAGTTAGCACATTCTCCCTGTGTCTGCGTGGGTTTCCTCCGGGTTCTCCGGTTTCCTGCCACAGTCCAAAGATGTGCCGGGTAGGTGGATTAGCCATACTAAATTACTCGTAGTGTCCAAGGATGTTTAGGTTAGGTGGGTTAGACGTGGGAAATGCAGGGGCAGGGGAATGTGTCTGGGTGGAATGCTCTTCAGAAGGGCAGTGTGGACTTGTTGGGCTGAATGGCCTGTTTCCATATTGTAGGGGTTCTATGGCCCCTTTGTACTGTACTACTCTATGAAAATCTGAACTGGACCAGTGTATATGTACTGTAGCCACAAGAACAGATCAGAGGCTGGGAATTCTCTGGCAAGTAACTGACTCCTAACAATGCCTGTCCACTATCTACATGGCATAAATCAAGTGTTTGATGGAATAATCTCCACTTGTCTGGGTGAGTGCAACAACACTTAGGAAAATGCTATCCAGGCTGAAGCTGCTTACTCTTTGATACCCTATCCACAGCCTTCATCATTCACTGTCTCCACCATCAGCATGCAGTGGAAGTGGTGTGTACCATCCATAAGACTCACTGCAGCAACTTATCAATGATCCTTTGACAACACTTTCCAAACTAGTGACCTCTACCACCTGGAAGGACAAGGGCAGCAGATGCATGGGAATACTACCCTCTGTAAGTTCCCCTTCAAGGCACACACCATCTTGACTGAAGACATAGAAGCAGAAGTGGCCATTCAACCCAAAGAATCTGCTCTGCCATTCAATGAGATCATGGTGGATTCCAGTCTTCATCCAATTCAATTCACTCTATCTGATATCAAGAAACATCTGGAGACACTGGGCACTGTAGAGGCTATGAGCCCTGATAACATTCCAGCAATAGTCCTGAAGAAGTGCACTCTAGAACTTGCTATGTCTCTAGCCAGGCTGTTCCAGTACAGCTATAACACTGGCATCTAGACAACAATGCGGAAAACTGCCCAAAGATGCCATATACACAAAAAACAGGACAAATTCAACCCAGACATCAGTCTACTCATCAGAAAAGTGATGGAAGGTGTCATCAATAGTGCTATCAAGCAGCACCTGCTCAGCAATGTTCCCAGTTTGGGTTCTATTCGGGGCGCTCAGCTCTTGACCTTTCTGTATTTATATATTCATATTTTTACCACTTTTTTCATATTTTTTACGTGAATGACTATCCTGATCACCTCCACTTCCATGAACAAAAACAAAGTTGCTGGAAAAGCTCAGCAGGTCTGGCAGCATTTGTGAAGGAGAAAACAGAGTTAACGTTTCGGGTCCGGTGACCCTTCCTCAGAACTGGGAAAACGTCAGTTTATATGCAGAAAATAGGGAGGTGGGTGGGGTAGGGAGTAAATGATAAGATAGAGCCCAAAGAGAGAGAAAGACAGTTGGACAGACAAAGGAGTTGCTAACGATCAGGCTGGGAGGGTGAATAGTTGCTAATGGGGACTGTTATTGACTAACAACAGAGGGTGTGTAATGGCAGGCTATGTGGTAACAAGGCCTGGTGTGTGGGGTGTGGGATGGGGGGTTGGGACATGGGAGAGTTTAGGCCCTAAAATTATTGAACTCAATATTGAGTCCGGAGGGTTGTAGGGTCCCCAAGCGGAAAATGAGGTGTTGTTCCTCCAGCTTGCGTGGGCTTCACTGGAACACTGTAGCAAGCCGGAGACAGAGATGTTGGCCAGAGAGCAGGGTGGTGCATAATTGCCAGGATACTTCCCACGTCACTCTTCAATGCCCCTGATGCACCTGTCTTTATTTAGATCCCTCTTCCAACCCTCCATGTTCCAGATACCGCTCCACAACCCCGTCCTCACTGACTCAGTCTTGCCGATCCCAAAAATCCATGAAGACCAATCTCCTGCTTCCCAGCCTCATCCACCTCTCCCCGCCACAACTAAACATTTGTGTTGTTTAAGAGTTAAACAACGAAAACTGCTGACCTTATAACAACTACACAAAAATGACAGGTGCATGTAACCTTTAAACAATTGTGAACCAGGTGTATTCTTGTACACTTCTGACTTTATCCTGAAGGTAGTATTTTATTGAACCACTTTCATGTTAATGAATGGTCATGTCATGCAAACATATCTTAAATATGTACCCACTGCATTTCTGTGAAATTTTCAACACATTTATTACTGCATCTTAAACTATTAACCAAAATTTTGCACCCCACCTAAGTAAGTCACTCCAGTGCAACATTTCCTCCTCTTGTGATCTCCATAAAATTCCCAGCATCTCTGATTCATATTGCTGATTTTAGTATTTTGATTAGACATTTTTTTCATTGTTGCACGTGTACAGTCATGGAGTCATAGAGTAATACAGCATGGAAACAGGCCTTTCGGCCCAAACTGGTCCATGCTGACCATGGTGCCCACTCAGTTAGTTCCAATTGCCCACATTTGATCCATATCCCTCTAAACCCTTCCCATCCGTGTACCTATCCAAATATTTTTAAACTGTTGCCATTGTACCTGCCTCAACCACTTTCTCTGGCAGCCCATTCCATATACACACCACTCTGCGTGAAGAAATTACCCTTCAGGTCCTTCTTAAATCTATCATCTCTCACCTTAAACCTATGCCCCCTAGTTTTCAATTCCCCATCCCTAGGAAAAAGACTATATGTAGTCATCCTGTCTATACCCATCATGATTTTATGCACCTCAGTAAGGTCACCTCTCAATCTCTTATGTTCCAAGGAATAAAGTCCTGTCCTGACCAACCTCTCCCTGTAACTCAGGCCTACTAGTCCTGGCAACATCCTTCTTTGCACACTTTCCAGTTTAACTATGTCTTGGAATTCCAAGTATTCCAAGTGCGGCCTCACCAATGACTTATACAACTGTAACTTAATGTCCCAATTCCTATACTCAATGCCTCAACTGATGAAGGCCAGCATGGTAAACGCCTTCTTCATCACCCTGCCTACTTGTGACACCACTTTCAATGATCTATACTGCAATGAAATATAAACACCAAAGTTCCATTTCTGTTATGTAGTCTTGAGAATGCTGTCCAACATATTTCTGCAGAACATACATTTTGCACATTTGATTTTAGTTTCCAATTGAAGTACAAAAGAAACAAAGTCAATATATATCTTGAATATTGTTTTATGTTACAATCATAGATAATAGAATTCCTCCAAAAAATAGTGATTTCTAAATGAGGAAATGTGACCAATGCACTGTTATTGTTATTCAAGTGATTATAAATATAAATTTGTGTCTACCATTTATGTCTGTCAATTTCAGAGTCTGCGAACCCTTTGCTTCTTTCCCAGTTTCCTTTGTATCTACTGGCAATGGCATGTTTCTTTCATTCAAATCCCTCAGAGTGCATGGAATAAGAGAAATAAATGGATATTTTGAGGCAATTCCCAACAAAAGTAAGTTGCAAAACAAATTGTCCATGACTACATTGTAGCTTTGATAAATTTTAGTGAGCACTTAGAGCTATTAATTGGTGCCCTCTTTGCCTACTTCACAATGAAGTGAATCACCATAAAATTAACCATAATTTATCTCAAGTCCTATTATACAGCTGGCCATCTTGCTGCCATATCTATTTACCTATAATTTGTTAATATTGTTAGTTATTTCTGCAGCCAGGTTGTAACAATTCTATGAATAAACTGAGAATTAATGCACTAGTCCTGTTTAATTACCCATTTGACATAATCAGCCCATTATAGCCACAAATAAAAAGAGCAAATGACAAAACAAAATCTCAGCGGGTTGGGGAGCACCCACCTGGAGAGAAAAATCACATTTCAGGTCTGTGATGTCTCATCAGTACTGGAAAATGTTAGACAGGGAATGGGTTTTAATCAAGGGGTAAAAACTGAAAGAACTGCAGATGCTATAAATCAGGAACAAAAACAAAGTTGCTGGAAAAGCTCAGCAGGTCTGGCAGCATCTGTGGAGGAGAAAACAGAGTTTCGGGTCTGGTGACTCTTCCTCAGAACTGGTGGTGGCTGGGAAAATGTCAGTTTATATGCAGAAAATAGGGAGGTGGGTGGGGTAGGGAGTAAACGATAGGATAGAGCCCAAAGAGAGAGAAAGACAGTTGGACAGACAAAGGAGTTGCTAACGATCAGGCTGGGAGGGTGAATAGTTGCTAATGGGGACTGTTA